TATGATTATAAGATAGATCTTTGTGATATGTTTTTGCATATTTTAATTTTTTTTTTCTCTTTTTTCTTTGTACAGTAAGAAATAGCATATTTTTTTTTTTTTTTTTTTTTTTTTTTTTTTTTTTTTGTAAGCTCAGTGGCATTTAATTTGGAAAGAAAAATTGAAATAAGTTCATCGTATATTATCCGATAATTAATTAGCAGTAAACTTAGTAATCCTGTAAATTTTTTTTTAATATCTTATTTTGTGGATCATATATTATATATATGCTTGTATATGCTAATTTGTAGTAGTGTCATGCATGATATCATTGACAGCTGTGGAGATCGTCAATGCGGAGCCTGCCAAAATTTGGCAACTCGCCTGTCTGGCGATGGACGACCTGTCCGTGAGGATGTCATCAGAAGGTACATCGAATCATTGAACTATTGCATAAGAAATAAGCTATAAAATATTTAACGTCATAATTATTGGCGTTCTTATTACTCTCTTTAGATATTTAATTTTTCTAACAATCATTATTATTATTATTTTTTTCATTTTTTTTATTTATTTTTTTTTCTGTAAATTAGATAATATTCTTCTTAAAAAAAATATTGGCACTCATCGTACATATATATATATATATATATATACATAAGCTTTGTTCTTTGCGGTTATTAATCTAGGTAACTATAAGTTCTCTATGTATGTATGCTTTTAGTAGAATGTTAACATAAGTAGATCATTCAAAGTATTGTGATTAAAAAGGCTTGCGATTGTGGAATAATCGTTTAATACGTCATGACACGTTTGCTATCGATATCGCAATTAGATCGTTTATTATGACATAATAATTTTCATTGTGCTTATAAGTAAAATATCATAATTATGATTTTATTTTTTTAAATCGACTTACAAAATGTTCTTAATAAACGATCCGAACGCGTCGATTTTCGTTGTGTCGCGCATTTATGATTGTAATTTTTGGAAATTTGAAAAGTCTTATATAATTGCAGTACACAATCTACACCAAGGGTTGTACCAACGATGCAGCAGGCTCATTCGAATACACAAGCCCATACGAGTTTTCATACGACATCACAAAGCTCCTCTCAAAGAGCTCAAAGGAAAAACGTTATCAGTTGTGTTACGGTCGGTGATAGCGATGGCGAAGGTAGTCCAGGGAGAGCTCATGCACATTTGTATCAACAAGTACCGCAACATCCGCAACATCAACAAACTACAACGCAACACATCAAACACGAGCCTCAACAACAGCATCACGTTAGCAGGTAGGTGATTTTTTAAATAATATATTTTGTGCCAAGTATTTTGTGTTCGTTATATTAATAATTAAATTCTTAATGCAGCAGTAGTTCTGGCTATTCCTCTCAGTCCCAAAAGAAGCGATTATTGGCTAAGGTACAATCCGAATGCAATATGGTGAGCGTTACGACTAAATCCGAACCTGGCGTTGAGTATGTCGCTCCACATCCTTGTCATGCGCCAGCTTGCAAAGAGCCACCGACCTATCAGGTAAAATATTATTTCTTTCATTTCATTCAACCTTCTGTATTATTATTTCATTATTCTTATCGTTAAAATTTTTAGTTTGATATTTCATTTCTGGCTTTGTCATTGACACAGCAAACTTTTCAATAATATTTTTCTTTAATTTTATATTATTTTTCGGCAACAGAAAAATTGGATTTAACGCGAGAACGATATAAAATTTTCTTTTCTGTTTTCCCTCCCCCTTCAGTTAGTAATTTTTATTCTGGGTAATGTCTTTCTAGGATGACGCCTATGACATGAATGACTACTTATTGCAGTATGTGACTACAAGTAGCGCTCATCCTCATCTACAAGAGCAACACATCGTTTACACGACCGGTACAGACAAACGAGTATCTTGGTCTGGAAAACGAGCTGAATATAAGCACGATTACGTTCAACCTCCAGCAGCTCATTCGAGAGATCATCAAAAGTGGGCAGTAGCAAACCCTGTACATCAATATAGGTGAGTCGTTCTACGTCATGGTTTTATTTTTTCTCGCATGAATCGTATTAGAGAATAGCATTCATTTTGAAGAAGAAGAGCATGTCATTTTTAGAACAACAGTTTAGGCATTTTGTGATATTTTCGAGTAAAGATTATTACTGCCAGCGGCATGCTAATTTCCATTGTAAAAGTGTGTGTTAAAGCATGGTATCTTCTTTCTCCTATGGAGAACAATTTCGACACGATAATAATTAATTAAAGAAGAAACATACACACAACAAGAGAAAATAAAAAAGAAAAAGAAAGTATAAACTTGCATGGTTTTTCAAAAGTTGTACGTTAGATGATATATATATATATACTGAGTAAAAGGCACGAATTTTGTTTTCTTTTCCTTCAGGTCACCTCGATTTTCTTCAATTTTAATTTGTTTAAATTTTCATTTTATTTGATTATTTTTCGTTTGCGATTAGAATGAAATCTTCACAAAAATTTGATTGTTTTTTCCTCCTATTATTTTCTATGCACCATCATCATCAGAATTCTCTGTTATGACTTAATATATTGATAAATAAATAGATATTTCAGTTAGAGTTATTGACGGAAAGTTAAAAAAAATAAAAATAAAAAAAATCGCTAGAAAAGAGAAAAGCGAAGCATGTGAATTGCATAATGAAGGGATGGATTTTGTTCTGGGTTTTGTAGGCAGAGCCAGGTGGTAGGCTCGACAGCCCATCCGGGTCATACCCACAGCCACCATGGGCATCCAGTCCATCTGAGCCCTGGGGGTGGTGGTGGAGGCAGAAGCCCCACGGGCGGACCTGTGATAGGGGGTGCCCAGCATCTGGGACAACCTCTCTACCAGGAGTACGCTCATGTGCGTTCAAGAGCACATGCCGTGCCACCCCCTGTTTATGTTACTGCTGCGCCTTCTCAGGCTCCTGCTGCTATCCAGCAGCAACAAGTGCCCACCTTTCAGGGATTCACACCCGGGTGGGTACCTAGACACCTAGTTGATGCATGCACGTGTGTACCATTTATTATTTTACGTTTATAGTCTTTAGTATTTATTTAATGTTAAATGTATCTGTCCCGTTAAGGTATGTTTGTCGATGTTATTTCTTATCATTGACGATATTTCAATCATTATTATATATTTTATATAGTTTGTGCATATAATTATAATTACGTGATGCGTAATGTGTCCTATTTATAATGTAATTAGATATACCACTTGAAAAAGTTTTTTACAAGATTATAATTTATTAGATTCCCTCAATTAGCACGGATTATCGTTAGACGATATATCGATTTCTCATACAAAAGAATTAACTTCGTTTTTATTCTTCTTCTTTTTTTTTTTCTTTTTTTAATTATAATTGTTTATTTATTTTTATTCTCGTATTTTTATGTTCTCTTTATATATACATAGCATCAAGAGTATCTTACATTTTGTATAGTTTAGTGTTTTTGTAGAGTATCTTGATTAGAGACTGCATGTTTGCACATTGCATATCTTTCATATTTATCTATGTACAAGTATACATTTATTTCAATGATTATCATATTTTCATTCTATCCTAAAATATTAATGTTAAATAAATAAATTATATATTACAAAAACGTAATATTTGATCATACTTGTACATAAATTAATTACAACAATATGTCGATCGCCCAATTACACATTCGTATCCGAAATATCATTTAATACAAAAATAAATAATTTCTTTTCTACGTACATATATGTTTACGTACGTATAGATAATCTAAATTTCAATATACGCAGGTGTAATCTGGGCCGGCAGTATCTTAAGGGAAATACATTTATTATATTAAGGAAATTATATTTATATAATTAATATATTACATATATATATATTTATATATTAATAAAAGATATTAAGAAAGAATTATATTTATATAAACATATACATATACATATATATATATATATATTTGCAATCTTATTTTTAGAAATTTGTGGAGATGTTCTAACCGTATGTTATCCCGTTTTTTACAGCTCGTCTCCATTAACGTTGTATGATTCTAGTCGTGCGTTGCCACCACCAGCTCATCACAGTTCAGCCAGACCATTACTAGCAAGCCATGCAGCGCATCCACTACCAGCGCATATGCAACCTACTGCTGTTTATGGATTGGCTCCGCTTTCACCAGCCAAACACCAGTATCAACCATCTGGTTTGTGGTTTACGGAGTAAATTCATATTTTTAAAGCGCATTAACGTGCTCTGACCGTTGCAGTTTAAATGCTCTCGTTATGATGCCCCCTTACTTGTTTGTTATATTTTTTTTGCTCATCTTTTTCTATTTCCTGTGAAACTTACGATTTGCCTGTCTGTCTGTCTGTCTCTCTCCCTCACTCTCTCTCTCTCTCTCTCTCTCTCTCTCTCTCTCTCTCTCTCTCTCTCTGTCTATATATATATATATTTTTTTTTCTCATTTATCGATGTTCGATACAATGGGAAATGACTGCGTAATGAAAAAGGACTTACATTGTATTGAAATACTTATTGAAAGACTCACAAACTTTGTCACTCTATCTCTCTCTTTATCAAGGATTCTTCTTTAATGGCTGTTATATATTTGTATCAATGGAAAGTGTATTTAAAAAATCAATTCACATTAGGAATTTTTAATAAGAGACTTTGAGATAAAATTATATACATAGTCTTTGGTCTTAGAAAGAGACGGTCTTTTGTAATACCGAAAAATAAATCGTCAATCCGTCCTCGATCATCGTTGTCCTTTATATTTTCTTAATTGTATGTATATGGTATAATACAATTAAGTTTTGCAACAGAGACGATGCATACAACAAAATAGGTTTGATAAAAAAAAAATAAAACTAAAATAGATCTCGCGATTTGATACTTTTTATTTATCAATCTTTTTTTAATGTTTTATTGTTTTAATCGCAAATGAAATATATAATGTGTCCTTTTTCAATTCGTATAATAATAATAACTCGTGTAGAAGGAATTGTTAAAAATATACTTTAGAAATCGTGTGTCGTTTAGATCACTCTACACGCTTTCCTAAAACTTTATTACTATATATATATTTATTGTTAATCATATAAAATTAACAAAGATTTGTAATATTATATATATATCAAGACACTAGCCAATGTGTTTATATATATATATATATAAACTTTGCGTGCACATTATGTTTGTCGTAAGTTTCCACAGGAATATAGAAAAAAATGTAATAGAAGGGGGAAGAAAGAAAAAAAAAAAAAAAAAAAAAAAAAACTCGTGAATATTTTGACGAGACCGATTTATCTGGGTATCCGAATTTATTTAAATTGTTTCGTTTAATTATCCAACTTAATCCGCGGAAAAG